CTCTCTTCTGCCTCGCCTTTATCTCTCTCTCTCTCTCCTTACGCATACACGAACGCGCGTCAACCCATTCGCACAACGCATCGTTTATAATTGTATTTATCTTTACGGTATAAGCCTCCGACGCCCCTCGCTGCATCTGGCCACAATGCGCTCGCAGCTTGGCCCTTTCCCGACCGCAAACAGCTCTTCTCTCTCTCTCTCTCATCCTCATCTCTTTCATTCTCTCTCTCTGTCTCTCGCTTTTCTTCTTTCTCTCTCTCCCAGACTCTCTCTTGGTCGCTCTCTTCTTATTCTCTTGGTCTCTCTCTTTATCTCTGTTGGGGTCTCTCTCTCTATCTCTTAGTCTCTCTTCTCTCTGTGTCCGCTTTATCTCTCTCTCTCTCTCTCTCTCTCTCTCTCTCTCTCTCCTCTCTCTCTCTCTCTATCTCTCTCTCTCTCTCTCTCTCTCTCCCTCCCTCTCTCGCTCTGACTGTCTCTTCCTCGTAGATGAAGGGACAGGAAGAGAGGAGCGAGATAGAAGCGAAGAAAGAAAGAAGAGAGACGAGACATAAGAGGAAGTAAGTGACAGAGAGAAAAAAGAAAAAGCGAGAGAGAGAGAGAGAGAAAGAGATAGAAAGACAAAAAAAAACAAAAATCTCGAGAGAGAAAACGAAGACCGAAAGAGAGAGAGAGAAAAAAGAAGAGCAAGGAGCGAAAGAAGAGGGCAAGAGCAGCACCGAGGCAGGCGACAGGAAGTCCAGTCCCCGAGTTCCCTTAAAAAGAGGGTTGCTTCCTTGCCCTCGCCCTGTCCTCCGCCTCCCTCGGGGAAGAGGGGAATGTGGTGGACGGGGCGAGGGAGGAGAAGGAGGAGAGAGGAGGGGAGGAAGGAGGTGAGATGGAGGGAGGAGAGGAGGAAGAGGAGAGGAGAGAGGAGAGAGAAGGAGAAGAGAGAGAAGAAAAGAGGAGAAGAGAGGAGGAGGAAGGAGAGAAGCGGGGAGGTGAGAGAGAGAGAGGAGGGAGGAGGAGGAAAAGGGAAAAAATGAGGAGAAGAGAGAGAAAGAGACGGGAGGAGGGAGAGAAGAGAAGGGAGAGGAGGGAGAGAGAGAAGCGAGGAGGAGGAGAAAGGGGAGGGAGGGAGAGAGAAAGAGAGAGAGGAGGAAGAGGAGGGAAAAGGAGGGAGAAGATAGGAGAGAAGAGAGGGAGGAAGAGGAGGAAGGAAGAGAGAGAGAGAAGAGAGAAGGAGGAAGAAAGGGACGAAGGAGGAGAGAGAGAGAGAAAGGAAGGGGAGAAAAGGGAGGGAGGAGAGAGGAGGAAAGGGAGGAGAGAGAGAAGAGATGAGGGAAAAGGATGGGAGAGAGAGAGGGGGAGGAAAAAGGGGCAAGCGTCTAAGGACAGATGAGAGAGGAAAAGATAAATAAATCGATAGTTGAGAGAGAGACAGAGAGAAATGAAGGGAGATTAAAAGGGAGGAGGAAGAAAGACGAAAAGCAAGAGACACAAAAAGAAATGAGAAAGAGATAGAGGAGAAAGAGAGAGAAGATATAGAGAAAGAGAAGGAGGAGATTTCAGAGAAAGAAAGAGACAAGACAACCGAAAAGACAGAAAAAAGAGAAAATAAATCGAGAAACAGAGACAAGAGAGAACGAGAACGAACCAAAAGAAACAAGAGAGAGAGAAAGAGAGAGAAGTGGTGGGCGAGGGGTTGACTCACCCACGCGCGTCGCTATTAACCCCCCTCCCCCTCCCTCCTCCACCCCCCCACCACCCCACCCCACCGCAAACATCCCCTCACTCTCGCCTCAGCCTCCTGGAAACCCTCCGAAGTCTCACTTTCGAGTAACCGATATAACGCGAGGCAGATGACGTCACGCGGTAAGGTCAGCCTACGTCAAATTACTCACCAAGCACATGATTTTATTTTACTATTATCATTATTATTGTTATATTTTTGTGTTTAGCTTTTTTTTTTATGTTTAGACTGTTTTTTAAATGTTTAGACTGTTTTTTTTACGTTTAGACAGCTCAAATCGGCCTTTGAGACAACAATAGTAACAGTAAAAATAATAATGATAATAATTAATAATAATAATAATAATAATAATAATAATAATAATATATATTTTATGTATTATCATAAATATTTTTGTTTATATTTTTTTTCTTAATGCATAGACAGCTCAAATCGGCCTTTGTGATAATAACAGTAATAGTAAGAATGATGATTATAATAATAATAACAATAATAATAATAATAATAATAATAATAACATTACGACTAATGATTTATCTTATGTATCATTATATCATTTATATTTTTTTATCTTATCTTTAATGCATAGACAGCTCAAATCGGCCTTTGTGATAATAACAGTAATAATAGTAAGAATGATGATATATTAATAATAAAGCTATTATTACAAACAATAATGGTTGATGATGATGATGATGATGATAATAAAGAAAACGGAAATAAAACTGAAAATAATGAAAACAATAATGATAATAATATAATAACAATAACAACAAAACCCAAAAGAATAAGAATACTGATAATGACAGTGATAATCATAAACCGCGAAAATAATCATAAAAATATATCAACTGCAGCCACAATATCAATAATAAGTAAAGTATATAATAATAGAAACAAGAAAAAAATCAAAACATTAGTGAATAGGGAATAACAAAGACCACCATAAATGAGGTGAATTGAAAGCCTCTGGTGAATAGAAGGGGAGACGGGACAGGGAGGGAAGGAGGGAAGAAAGGAAGGGGGGCGGAAGGAGGAAGGAGAGAGGAGGAGGAAGGAGGGAGGGAAGAATGGAGGAGGAGGAGGAGGACAGGAAGGATTACAGGAGAGGAGGAGAAGAGGGACAGGGAGAGGAGGAGAGAAGGAAGAAGGAAGAAGGGACAGGGAAAGAAGGAGAGAGGGAGGAGAGGAAAGAGGACAGGAAGAGGAGAAGGAAAGAGGAATGAGTGGAAGGAAGGCAAGGAGAGACAGGGAGTAAAGGAAGAAGGAAGGAAGAGAGAAGGGAAGGAAAGGAAGGAAGAGAGACAGGGAAAGAAGGAGAGAAGGAAAAGAGGAAGAAGGGACACGGAGGGAGGCGCAGGGCTCTCCTTGGGCACTGTTTACGTTCGCCCTTCTTGCCTGTAGATGGCGTGGCTCTCGCTCTGCTGGGAAAATTTCTCGTTACGTAACAGAGGAGGAAGGGGAGTGGAAGGGCAGAAGCGAGGAAAATCGGCGCACTTAAAAAAAAAAAAAAAAAAAAAAAATAATAATAACCACACACGCAGAAAATATATGAAGATAATATACAAATATATACATACATATACAAAGAACCATCCCTCTCTCTCTCTTTCTTTCTTTCTTTCTCTCTCTCCCAAACACGCACGAGAAGAGAGACAAAACATTACACATTACACACTTACGTACGGAAATAACAACAACAACAACAACAACAACAACAGCGACGACGGCCGTTCTCGGAGGCGGGGCGGCGGGGCAGCCCACGTCCGCCCCAGCACAAGTGACCCGTGGCTTACCTGATAGGAGGCAAAGGATACCCGATGGGCGTGGGCGGCGCTGGCCCCGGCGGCGTGGTGGCCAACCGCCCGGGGGACCGCACGCTACCAAAGCCAAACATAACGTGGGCGTGCGGGCGGGGGCGGGGGCGCGTGACTGGGCGGCGGTGCAGATCTACCAGAAGCGGCGGTGGGCGAGTGCAAGTGCAGAGCGGTGCAACATACAGGACACACACGAGGCAGTCATGACTAAGATGGGGTGCTGGTGGTCAGCATGGCGGCCGTGCTTGCGCCGCGGAGTGGTCAGGTCAAAATAGGTCATACGAACGGACCCGAGTGAAGTCTTTGGAGAAAGAAAAAGGAAAAAAAAAACATCCGGTGCGACGCCCCACTAACTGGAGCGTAAGTGTTCCACCGACAAACGTCTGGCCATTGTGGTGCGCGACGAGGGACAAAACACACAAACACACAAACACACACGTTGCCTCACACAGACATAAGGGCGTTGCTGCGCCTCTACTACCTCAACCTACGCCACACTACTCAACACTGGCTCCCCTCAGCATCCCATCTCAGACAATCAATGGCACCCACGCTACGCTCCGACCGGGGCCCGCCGAGGCGAGAGTAACACATTCGCATCCTTTATCCTCCCTTGCTGCCACTTAGACGCAGGCTTCGTCACGGAAGAAGCAATCGTATCGAAGGAGAGTCCGCGCTGCTCCGACAAACACAAACAAAAATCCACCAGAAAAAATTAACCCCTTAAACCGCCTAAACAACACAGATCCGACCGCGGCGAACGGACGCGTCCCACTCATCGAGCACAAGCCCCGGTCCCGGCGGCGTTACGCTCGCGACCGGTTTCCCGGGTGCCAGCGGCGAGGGGAAACGCGCGAGTCCCCGGGCCCCGCAGCGAGCGTGACGCACAGCTCCCAGGGAGAGAGAGAGGGGTGCCATGTGTCGCGGATAAAATTAGCGAGATGCGTATGACGCGCGGAGAGGACCTCGTCGCTACTCTGATTACAAGACGGCCGGAAGTCCCGCGTCGTCTTTTCGATCGAGAATAAGAAAAAAAATGAATAAACAAATAACAAAACAGAAAAGAAATGCGATTAGATACGTTATCTTCGTGATCGATTAGCAGCCCGTTCGCGGTTTCCGGTTTTAAACCCGAAACCGTTAAATGGAACGATCTTATTCTTTGTTTTTGCATAACATAAAGAACAAATTATATATAACAGAACTCTACAAAGCCGGAAAATAAGGAAAACTGTCCATTTCCCTCCCTCTTCCCTTTCGTAGAGTTATATAACCTGAATTCAGCATTAGAAAAAAATATAACCGAATAAATAAAAAAAAACGCATAAATATACCGCTGATTTAAATGCATTTCTTCACCGCCTTTGTCCGACAATGACAATAATAATGAATAATAATAATAATAAATAATAATAATAAGTCAATAATAATAATAATAATAATAATAATAATAATAATAAGTAATAATATAATAATAATTAATAATAATAATAATAATAATAATAATAATAATAATCAATAATAATAATAATAATAATAATAAGTAATAATAATAATAATAATAATAATAACAATAATAATAATAATAATAATAATAATAATAATAATAACAACAACAACAATAATAAACGCAAAAATATTATTATCCTGTCTCCTGAGTCACATGGCGATTAACCTACATAAAAGGGAATATTAATTAAGTCTGCCTGCACAAGTCACGAAATAAAACTTACAAAATGAAGAAAAAGACGCACGTTTACATATGTATGCAATGCGCACAGATGTGTATGTGATGTGTGTGTGTGTGTGTGTGTGTGTGTGTGTGTGTGTGTGTGTGTGTGTGTGTGTGTGTGTGTGTGTGTGTGAGTGAGTGAGTGAGTGTGTGAGTGTGTGAGTGAGTGAGTGTGTGAGTGTGAGTGAGTGAGTAAGTGTGAGTGTGAGTGAGTGAGTGAGTAAGTGTGAGTGAATGAGTGAGTGTGAGTGAGTGTGTGCGTGTGTATGTGTGCGTGTAATGTGTGCGTGTACATGTGTGTATGTGTGTGTGTGTGTGTGTATGTATGTGTGTGCGTGTGTATGTATGTGTGTGCGTGTGTGTATGTATGTGCGTGTGTGTATGTATGTGTGGTGTGTGTATGTATGTATGGTGGTGTGTGTATGTATGTATGTATGTGTTTGTGTGTGTGTATGTATGTATGTGTTTGTGTGTGTGTATGTATGTACGTGTTTGTGTGTATGTATGTGTGCGTGTGCGTGTATGTATGCGTGTGTGTATGTATGTATATGTGTGCGTGTATGCGTACGTGTGTGCGTGCAAGTGTGTATGCGCGTGCGTGTGTTAAGCGCATACAAAAACACCAACAAACACAGCGACAGAACCCCCCCCCTCCCCATTCCTAAACCGAATCCCAAACAGCGCAAACACCTAAAACCGAACACATGATCCCAAACGCAACACAAACGAATAAATAGAGACCGAGTGGAAGAGAGAATCTTTCCCCCACCCCCAGCCCCCCCACACCTCCCCCTCTCTCTTCCACAAACGAAGAATTAGAAGAATTAGAGCGAGTGAAAGAGAGAATCCTTCACCCCTTCCCTCCCCCCTTCCCACAAACGAAGAAATAGAGAACGAGTGAGAGAGAGAATCCTTCACCCCCTCCCACCCCCCTTCCTACAAACGAAGAAATAGAGAACGAGTGGAAGAGAGAATCCCTCACCCCCCCCCTCCCTTCCCACAAACGAAGAATTAGAAGAATTAGAACGAGTGGAAGAGAGAATCCTTCACCCCCCTCCCACCCCATCCCTTCCTACAAACGAAGAAATAGAGAACGAGTGGAAGAGAAAATCCTTCACCCCCCTTCCCCCACCCACCTTCCCTCAACGAAGAAATAGAGAACGAGTGGAAGAGAGAATCTTTCACCCCCCCCCTCCACCTTCCCCTCCCTTCCCACAAACGAAGAAATAGAGAACGAGTGGAAGAGAGAATCCTCCCCTCCCCCTTCCCTCCTTCCCTCCATGACACCCAACAGTCACGCAGAGGAGGGGAAAATCACCCTTTGTCTGGACATGACAATGAAGGAGCCTGACACAGGATCGCTAAATACGAGACACCGCTGAGATTTCTCCCCCCCACCTCCCCAACCACCCACCCCCCGACCTCACTCCCACCTCACTATGATGTCAACACCTCCCCAAAATTTTTTTTTTATACATTTCCCTGCAAATGTTTATCCTGCCGTGGGAAAGCGCGTGAGTGTGTTAATGGGAGATAATGGGGTGGTTGGGGTTTGCGCTCGTATTGCTTATTATTGTTATTATCTTATTATTATTATTATTATTATTATTAACTTATTATTATTATCATATTATTATTATTATTGCTTATTATTATCCACAGGGACTTGTCATCTTGTCATGGTGCCATGCGTACGAGATTTCGTATTTGTGGCTACAAACAAATCAAAAGAAATACTTACAATCATGTACGCACACACGTATACACGGCGCTCCTATGCATAGCTAAATGCATACACGCGCGCGCGCACACACACACACACACACACACACACACATAATTTATCTCATTTATTCACAAACAGCCATGGAACAATTTAAAGTTACTTTTCTGCTAAATTAACTACCATTTTTCAACATAACAAAAAAAAAAAATAAATAAAAATAAAAAAAAAAAATAAATAAAAAAATAAAAAAAAAATCAGCAACAGTACAGAGTGCTTTAATTAATTCACAATAAAAAAAAAAAATTAGCTCGACTCAAAGGCAACCAAGACATGCTTCGACAATACCCCAAACCCAACAAAGAACTATAGGCCTACATCGCATCACCCATTTATTCTTAAAACCAACAGGCCTACGCACTATAACTAAATTCTTCTGAGAACAGAATAGGCTTATTCCAATAACATACACAAAGAAATTGGACAACTTGAGCGCTTAAGGTGCTGTCACACTAGCACTTTTTCCGTCAATTTTTTTTTATTTTTTGACAATTTTCTGACCCCCCCCCCCATTTTTGAGCGAATTGTCGATTTTCCAGTCAGACGATAATGATCGTTTCCGTCTGAAAACCTTTCCGTCAACTTTTTCAGCCAAGCATAGTCAAATCAAGAGCTATATTCGAGAATGTTTGTATTTACGTTAAATAAAATTGTCAAAAAATGACAGAAAATGTGCTAGTGTGACAGCGCCTTTAGTCCTCTTTCGTATTGTCAAGCTTTGTGCAAGAAAAAAATAAATACATAGATGGATAGATAGATAGACAGAGAATTAGATAGATAAACAAAACAAATTCCTCTTATCTAGACTGGAGGCAGCTACTTGGGTTGTCATACCAAGGTGCTGACATCAGTGATATCACATGTCTGATACGCACACAACACACGCGCAGCCTACACTCACTCTCATGTTTACAAGGACAGACACAAGCAAAAACACACACACATACACATAAAAGCACATGTACATGCAAACACACACACACACACACACACACGTACATGCACATGTAAACACACACACACGCACGCACACACATCTCTTAACATTTTAACCCCATTCAGCATCTTCCTCTATTACCCATTTCCCAATCCTTCTTATTTTCCTTTTTTTAAATTCAAATTTCGGATTTTCTCCCGCTGTTTTTCCTGGCTCTGCTTCTCATTTTGCTTCTAATTTTGCCTTTTCTATTTTTCACTTTCGATTGCTTCTTCCTTCTCTCTTCTCGTTTCTGAGCCTATCAACTTCCTCCCTCTTCTCTCCATCTCCTCTCCCTCCCTCCCTCTCTTCTCTCCATCTCTCTCCCTCCCTCCTTCCTCTTCTCTCCATCTCTCTCCTCCCTTCTTTCTCCACTCTCTCTCCTCTCTCTCCCCTCTCCCTCCTCTTCTCTCCACCTCTCTCTCCCTCCCTCCCCCTCTCTCCTCCTCTCTCTCCCTCTCTCCCTCCCTCTTCTCTCCACCTCTCTCCCTCCCCCTTCTCTCCATCTCTCTCCCTCCCTCTTTTCTCCTCTCTCTCCTCCCTCTTCTCTCCATCTCTCTCTCTCTCTCTTCCTCCTCCCACTTCTCTCCATCTCTCTCCCTCCTCCCTTCTCTCTCTTTCCATCTCTCTCCCTCTTCTTCTTCTCTCTCTCTCCCTCCTTTTCTTCTATCTCTCTCTCTCTCTCTCCCCTCCTTTTCTTTCTATCTCTCTCTCCTCTCTCCCTCCTTTTCTTCTATCTCTCTCCTCCCTCCTTTTCTTTGTATCTCTCTCCCTCCCTCCTTTCTTTCTATCTCTCTCCTCTACTCCTTTCCTTTCTATCTCTCTCCTCCCCTCTTTCTTTCTATCTCTCTCCCTCCCTCCTTTCTTTCTATCTCTTCCCTCCACTCCTTTCCTTTCTATCTCTCCTCCACTCTTTCCTTTCTATCTCTCTCTCTCTCACTCCTTTCCTTTCTCTTCTCCCCTCCCTTCTTTCTACCCTCTCCTCCCTCTTTTCTTTCTATCTCTCTCCCTCTCCTCCTTTTCTTTCTATCTCTCTCCCTCTCCTCCTTTTTCTTCTATCTCTCTCCTTCCTCTTCCATCTCTCTCATTTCATCTCTCCCTCCTTCCTTCTCATTTCATGTCTCCTCCTTCCTCTCATTTCATCTCTCCCTCCTCCCTCCTCTTCTTCTCCTTCCTTCCCTCCCTCCCTCTCTTCTCTCCCCTTCTCCCTCCTCTTCTCTCTCCTTCCCTCCACCCTCTTCTCTCTCCTTCCCTCTCTC